GGTGGAGGGAAATGGGGAAGCCTGGAATGGGAGGGGAGATGGGATTCTTACCTTTCCATTCTCCAGGCCCCTGGTAACTAGGGGCAAATTGAAGTAGTGCAGATCCAGGACAGTCAGAGAAGGTTTTTAGTTTTGGAGCTAACAGTGACACTGCTTCCCACTTTGAGAAGCTGAAGTGTAACATGTAAGAAGGCCATCCCACTGAGCAGTGGGGAAAGTAAGATCCAAATTCTGACAGTCTGCTCCTGGGGCAAAGCAACTACACTCTGTCCCTTTCACAGGGATAATTACTTTGGGTTATGCTGAATAAGTCAGCCTATCTAGGAATGACCTTGGTAAGTCTTAAGGTCTTCAGAAGATTTTCAGACATACGAAACAAAGCAAATTGCTCGTCAGTTTAAATTTTTAGACATTAAACAGTTCAAAAAGGTACCAGTTTCCTTCAGAGGTTGGTTGGACTCCGTGCCACAGAGAGCTGGGGATAGATTCTCTTTCATCTCCTTAAGGTTTGGGGAACTTTAAAGGACTGCATCAACACTAGTTTTTTTTCAGCTAATATTTTAATTATCTTTTCAAGGTGTAAGACAGAATTGTTCTTCTTTCCTTCTTCTATACACACACTAATCAAATATGACACTCCTGGGTTTTGTTGATTTCCAACTCTATTATGGATCATAAACCTTAACTTAAGCTTCCTCTACATCCTGGCTAATGTTAGACTTTTCCTTTAAAGCGCCTTCCTTTTCCAGTGCTTAGTTCCCTCTGACCCAAAGAGAGGCACCAAAGGTTTTTCTATTCTCTTATGGAAAGGGAATTGAAAAACTAGTATGAGTTACACATATTTGTACTGCTTGTTCAGTTCAAGCACCCATTAACAGACTGATGCCATAAAGGAATCTTATCGTTAAAGTTTTACCACTTCGTTCACAACAGTTAAAATGGTATCACAGGGTGCTATATTTACTGATATAAATATGTTAAATGTGCTGAGTTTGCAAGTTTTTCCTCCATTTGACGCATTGAGAGAAGGCCTAATGTCTCTCTGATGGCTTTGAAGTCCATAAAATTTGTCTGGCTCCTGCTGGCCAAGAATCCTCATCCAATGTTTGTTCTAGAGCATAGTTTTAAGGCAAGTTCTCAATTGAAGAGGGTAACCGTGGAAAAGCTGATGAAGTTTGGGATGATGTACTGACGCTAGATTTCCTTAGTAATATTGCTTTCTCATCCCTTGGACTGCTTTCTCTGACGCTAGAGCAGAAGGTGTTGGTGCCTCAAAGGTTGATGACCCTATATCTGGCACAGGGATGACCTGCAGAGTAAATGCAATTGAACCAATTGAAAACCCTTCTGATTACTTCAGATTTTGAATTTGACTTTAATATAACATGACATGAACATGAAGAAGTCAAGTCTTACAACATATTAACAATATCAAACCTTAGGAACATTCCAAAGATAACTCAAATATTGCTGTGTAATAACTGTAACTAAATCTGACCTACAAAAAGAGTTTTGTTATTATCATTACTGAGTATTTCTAGGAAGGCAGACTTTTTGTTATCAGTATCAAGGGTATAATTTGCTGTAATATAGGAGCTTGTTACTGCCATTTAGGCTTCTGCATCTATCACAAGCTGGAGATGAGACAGCCATTATAGTAGGTCATCCAGCTTATCTCTGTTGGATCATATCAGTAGCACAGTCCAATCAGTGCCATCCTCAAGGTCAAGATAGCTTAAACATTTAACTGATAATTGGTCAGTCTTTCTGTACAATACTTGCTAAGGAGCTAATGATTATGTAAATTTAATCTTCAGGTTACTGTAAATACATAAACAGGGCATATCTACACGAGACTACATTTCCATAGCATTGGCAGGCACGAACCGTGACACCGATGCTACTGTGCAGTACCAATGAGCTACTGTGCAGTAGTGTCAGAAACGTCCTGCACACCACTGGGACTATACAGTAGCAGCAGTTACTTTGAAGTCAGGTACACGTGTAGATGTGCCCTCATAGTCTCAGATCTATGTAAAGTTACATTCTGAGACCTGACCCCAGTAGTATGGTGATTTAAGAACATTTTGCTCCTGACAAAATCAAGTAATTGAGAATGAGCATAAATCAGGAGCAAGAATGATAAGGAGTATAAAAACAGCTGAGTCATGAAGTTGCTGTTTGATGAAGTCATATAATAAATACTATGATACCCAGAAGTCACATACTTGGGCATATGCTAGTAATGTATAGATAATTATTTAATAACCCCCCTCCCCCCAGCTACATAGTTGAATATGGCATGTACAGTAACATGGTGTCTCTTATTCAATTTTAAATATTAATTGGTGGCAACTGGATTCCAACATTACCATCTCGCCACTGGTTACAGTTTAAGTTTGGAATTTTCATCTTAAGAAGCAAGTAGATATTTTGGTTCAGATTCACCTAGCATTTTAATTACATTAACCTTTTATTGTTACAATTGTAATATAATTTTTATATAGATCCCTAGCCTTGTATAGAGCTTTAGAAAGCATAAATAGGAGAAACTGACTGCATCAATGACCTATTTGAACATCACAAATAGTCTTCCTGTAAAAGAGGTGGAATGCAGGTATAACTGTAGGAATTCTTATAGCATCTGCAAGCAGTAACTTCTCTTCCCTGTGACCATGACAGGAGAGGCTATTGCTAGAAAGCTAGAGTCATCTTATTTATAGAATTACAGGCTCCAAAATTAGAGTTTGAGAGTGACCAAAGACAAAATTACTGATGCCATTTTTAAGGTAAAAGCACTAAGGAAGCACAGTACTTGCTCATTTGCCCCTTTCCACCTCTGCTATTTTTTCCCTGGCAAATCACAGAATAATTCTGTTTTCCTCAAATATGTGCATCTTGACCTGTGACCTTTTTACCTGAAAACCTGTGTGTTTGGTTAAAATTAAATGTTGCTCCAGCCAAATGAGCAAATGGACTCATGACTTCTGAAAAATTACCAGTTTTTATTATCAAACTAATCCTTGAATTCCCCATGAGCCATTTTTTCCAGTCCAGGCTTCCCACTTGCATCTACTTTAGATGTCTCTCAGGAGCCTCTTGTCTTTTGTCAGCACCATTTTTTCAGAGAAAGGACTTTCCTGAGCCTCCATTGCCTCATATCCTCTGAGTCTTAATGGCCCTTCCTCCTCTGTTGCTGTCTCGCTGAGCCCTGAAGAAATAGGCCTTTCTCATTTCCTGTGTCTCACTTTAGATACTTAAATTTTAGATTAAATGAGCAGTAGGGTCTTTGGTTGCTAGTCATATACTGTAATGATCATGACATGGCATGAGGGTTATACACTGTGGTATGTGCTGTCCAGTACCCACAATGGCTGTGATACTCGGGGCAGGGTAGGACAATGAAGGGCCTTGGCCGCCCCATCATGCACAGCCCCCTACTAAAGACTCCTGCTGCATTAAAGCCAGCAGCTCCATTGGTGCACCCTGCTCTAGCAGAGCTGGAGGGCACCTCAAACATGATTTGATTCCTTTTGCAATTCTGAATGTAAGTCTATGTTGTTTTCCTTTAGACGCTATCCAGGTTGTCAGTGCATCAATTTTGGATCTTGGTTTATACTTTGCATCCCCATCACCATTATTATTTTGTTGTTCTCCTGGTTCTGGCTCCAGTGGCTTTTCCTTGGTTTCAAGTGAGTAAATATTAAAAGCATCTAACATAATTCCACTTTGATAATACATAAGATACTTTGTTCAGACCAAAAGAACATCTTATTTATAATTAAAATATAGCCTGTGGAATGGTGATAAATGATTGTCTTTGCATCATCACATGGCACAAGTGAAGTCTCTGGAAGTGACAGGAATTCACACGCCTAGTCAATATGATGAATGACTATCCATCCTGGCACTGTTTGAAAACATATTCAGAGCCCCATTTCAAAACTATGTTGCCCACTTCTATAAAATTTGCACATCATTAGTAAGCAAGGAGGGCCTGATAGAGAAAAATTCACGTGGTACATAATTTGTGGTCCATATCCTGATGATGTTAATGGAGGGATTGCCATTTACCTTTATTGGGACCAAGATTTGATCCAATCTTTGAACCACATGGGCGCATCCAGATGAGTGCAGCCATGTGGTATGTGGCACCACAAACACATCTGCAGAGCCACATACTGCGTAGTCAGCTGTTCTCTGTGCTGCAAGGGCATACTGCCCATGCGTGTGCTGCTCCAGTTTTTTTTTCCATGTTTTTTTTTTATCCCTGGATATCAAGGGGTCAAAAAAAATAACATGGAAAAAAAACAGATCAGAGCACGCATGGGCAGCGCATGCAGCTGAAAAGCCAGGCTCCACATGTCAGGATCACTGCATCTGAAGCCCCAGGAGGCCCTCAGGAACCCAGGTAAGGCTGCTGGGGCCAGCACAGTACTGGCCTCAGCCTCCCCTACTGCGCCAGGGTAACTTGCCCCGTGAGAAAGCACACATGAGTCGAGCTTTCCCCAGGGACAAGTAGCTATGACACAAAGTGTGCTTCTGCTAGTTGTTCCCAAGGAACCAAACATCCACGCTTGTCTGGATGCAGCCCATAGATCTAAAAGTTGATGATTGAACTGTACAGCAAATATATAGGTTAAGTACAAACAGTCAAAAAGCACAAGGCTGAATCGATTCAATCTTCACAAGTTAGTCTATGCTTCATAGACTGAACCGATAAGCAAGTGAACAGACATTCACTTTTGATTCTGGAAATGCAGCCACATACCTGCAGTGGAGTTGGGCACTAAAATACACCTCCCTACATGGCTAGAGCAGACAGCTTGGGCCAAGTCTAGTACACCCAATGTGTGGGAGCAGAGGGGGAAAGAGGAGGGAGCGGGGTTTGCGGGAGAGGTGCAAAGGATCCTGGGATGCTGGGGGACTGTGAGTTAACTTTAATGTAAAGGAAATCTGGGCTAGATGTTCAATAAACTGATTTAACCCAAATGTGTTAAGTCTTACGCTGCATCCATCCAGGTTTACCTTAAACCAGTTTTAGCCATTTTGAAAGTGGTTTTGTGCACTGAACTTCTGTTGTGTCACAAATTTGAACCCATTTTTGATAACTTATACTGATTTATGCGTAATTTGTGTCCCTAGCCATAGTGTGTTTTGTTCCCAGAAAAGTGTGCATGTGCAAGGGGAAGGTTGTTTCATATGGATTTGTACTGTTCAGAGTAGTGCTGCAAGTTTTTGTATAGAATAACAATGTTTTGGGTCTCCACTACCTTGAATCTTGTGAATGAATACATAACTGTGTTAAACAGGTATTAAATGCTATCCACAGAGCCCTTGCTTTCTAGGGGTGTAAATAGCATGTAAGATGCAGGTTGTAGAAAATCAATTGGAAGTGTTTCCCCCTCTAATAATAGCATAATTAAAAAAAAATTCCTAGGCTGTATTGATGGTGTTCTTTGTAACACACTAGAAGAGTGGATTGAGAGATCCAAGAGAAGGTGAACTGAGAGCTAAAATCGATGATCTAATTCATAGTGAGACACTCTAACATATTCCCCAATTACTGCACTGGCTAATAAATGCAGTAAAAACTCTCCCAGGGCAGAAGAAAATGATGCTGAATGAGAAAGAGTCAGACTCAACAAAGCCATTGACAATTTCCTTTAACTAGATCTGATTTTTGGTTTTTTGCAAAGGAATTCCCCTGCATGGGTAAATAAGCCATTTTTTGGGGGGGGGGAGGGGGTTAAAGATCTTTGTCCTTTCTGACAGATAAACTAGTATGAATAAAATTGTACAGACATAATCATTATTGTCTAGCACTCCTGGTCTAAATGACAAATTTCAGCATTTGGAAATAAAATACCTACTAGGTCTTCAGTCTCGTGAGTCATTTATTGTTAATATTTCTGTGTGCATGTGTGTAAGGTCCCCACTTGCAGCAAATGTAGTAGACATATAATAAAATAATACCCCTTCCTTAAAGAGATTACAGTTTACATTTAAAGTGAACAAGAAGTAAAAGGAAAATTAGGGACGCACTTGCCTGCAGCCACATCTCAGATCATTTGTTATCAATCACAGTTTCTTGATTTCCCAATCCAGGGTTTTATCTATTAAGCCATGCTGCATGTCCTAAGAATCTAAACATGCAGGTTACCTGCTTTGCCTTAATCATAAACCACAATACTGGGCCCTATTTTACTGCTTCCTCCATCAGTCCCTTATTAAGTTGTGTACTCTTCAGCTAATCACAGTATTCTGAGATCCTGGGTATGCACAATTAAATGGGATACAGTAGCTTGACTTGTAGACCTGAGGTCTTAATCTAATAAATTTTTCCAATACTTAAAAAGCTTGGGAATTTGGGCTGTAACATGAGAACACATTTCTTATTGTTGATTTCCTTCCCAGTTTCAAAGAAATGTTCCAATGCGGCAAGGCAAAATCAGCCAGAGAACAAGCCGCAGCCCAGGTGATTGAAGACGAATATAAAAAGCTTGGACCAGTAAGGTAAGGAAGACTGCAAACTGCAGGCAAAAAACAAAGGCACTAGAAAGCAAACATAGTTTTAATGCAAGGAAAACAGACAATGACAAACTGTGCTTTTGCTGCAGCTACCCGGAGATTATTACTCTTGTCCTATTCATTCTAATGGCCCTGTTGTGGTTTACTAGAGATCCTGGATTCATCCCTGGATGGTCTTCACTTTTTCCACAGTGAGTAACACAATTTAAATGCTACCAATAACTATACTATTTGGTCCTAAATGAACTTATATATGATGATGATAAAAGAATACTTATTAAAATGTATTTTTACAGCTATGTAATTATTGCCCTGATTTTGTATGTATTATTGTTTAGATGTGCTGTAAAACCAAATGCAGTTTTTATATAAAATCGTAAGTTTATTTGACAAGGGTGTCATTCTGATTTAGCAATCAGGGTGACAAAGTGGAGATAGTGGGATCTATTTATGCTTATATCCTTTATGCGTATGAGTCTCATATTAGTAGATCATATGCATTTATGTACTAACATTAAGCAATTATATATTTCTAGGTAGGTAGGCAGGTAGGAAGGAAAAAAGAATAGTCTGCATAGTCTGAAGATAATAAAATATCTAGAAATGTATTTAGATATAGTATGGGCAGATAAACTAGTTACCCACATACCCCATAGTACATAAAAGCTAAACTATGGGTAGGCAAGTTTCTTTGGGTAGATGTGATATTTTTTATTACACCAACTAAATAGTTAGGAAAACATTCTTTGCAAGCTTTAAGGCACAAACATTCTTTGTCAGGCATATAGAGACTCTGCTGGTGTTATGTGTTGGTCAACATAGAAAAGAAGCTAATTTACAACCTGCAGGTCTATGAAAATACAAACTATGGGTATGTGCAGCTGTTACACTTAGATTGACCTAACTAGAATTAGGGTGATCTAAGTGATAAACTACATACATTCGGGTAGTTTAGATAGGGCAAAAAATGGCCAGCCTGATCTAACTTAGTTCATCTAACCAAATGTGTGTAGAAGTTTGGAGTGCATCCCTGGAACTGAGAAAGCCCAGCCACTTGCCCCAAACTCAAGGCTACACTTTTCCTACCCTCCCCCCGCCCTCCCACCATCCTGGTAGAGCTATTTTTAGCCCTAAGATCCCCACACGCCCCAATGTACAACCCCCACCCCTGCAGACCCACCAGCCCACCCAGTCCCACCTGTCCCTCCCTCCACCCTGCCTTACTTAAATCATGTTCCCGTTGTGGCTCCTGGCACTGGCGAACATGTGCACAAATGGGACCTGATCTACAATCATGTGGCTTAAAGCAAGCTGTATGATCATAGATCAGGTCCTGGGAACATCTGTAAATGCCTCATGTTAGCTTAGTCATTTATGAATGAGAAGCATGATACCAAGTTACTACAATTTAGCTTTTATCTACCATAGGGTAAAAACATGCACATGGGCAGTTAATGTGTAACAGTGATAAATCCCTCTGATCTTTTACCTGGTCACATGCTTGTCATGGGTCCTCACCCTTTGTGTGCCATAAGTTGATAAATTCTCTGAATGTTCATTTAGATTTTATTTCACCAAACATGCATCAGAAATCCTTTCTTGACCTCACCTGTTTGTTTGCCCAGCTGTCATATCATTTCCCTCATTTCTTCACTCTGAAATGTCTTAACTATCTTAGCACTAACTTTGTTCCATTCTTGCCCTTCCTGATCTGTCTGCTGCTTTGAACATGTTGATCACACTCTATAACTGAAAACTCTTTCCTTCTCCAGCTTCTTTTTCTCTTCCTACCCCTGGTTACTACGTTGTGTCTTCCTCTGGTTCCCTCCTACCTCCCTGACTATTCCTTGAACACTTCTTCTCATAGCTTTTCTTCCTTCCTTGTTGTCTGTTGTTTCCTTCCAAGGGTACCTATCTCTTTCCCCCACCTCTTCTTTTTACATCCTCTCCTTGACAACCTTATCAACTCTGATTTCTCTCATTACAATATACAAACTAATGACAGCCCTATCTATGTTTTCATCTCAGGTGAACATGCATGAACAAGCGGATCATACTCTTCACTATATATGCATTTAGTTCCGCAATTAATGATACAGACACAGACCTGTAGCAGGGTGGTAGCAGAAGGGTGGAGAGTGTTGTGAGAAATGACTGTAACTCTGAAAATGTAAAGTGCAGAGCAGAGGTATTTTGGGGTGCAAAAACAGTTAATAGATGCTGCCTATCATTAGGAATTTGTATTGTCTTTACCTTTTGAATATATTTTCCAAGCAATAGAAAAATGCAGAGAACCTTCTTTCCACACAGAAGAGCTTATGATCTTTCTCTTCATTTAGCAACATTTTTCTAAAATAAGTTGATTTAATCAAGCAATCAGCCAATCAAGCAATCAGACTGGCTGAACATGCCTTCCTGCTTTATAATAGCATTTAAAGTTCACATAGCATCACTTAATGACCTAGCTCACATACTAAAAAAAGCAATTGTAAATAGGTCTTTAAAAGCTGAGGCTTACTGTCAAATTATTTCCATTTAAAGACCAATATTTTCCTATTTAAACTTCTCTGCTTATTGTCTGACAAAAGTATTTTTCTCACAAATAGAGAAGAATGGAGTGTTCTTAAAGTAACTATACTCACAGAAACTTCATAGACTTTGTAGATGTTAGGGTTGAAAGGGATCTCACAAGAACATTGGGTCCAGCCCCCTGACCAAGGGGCAGGAAGTCAGCTGGGGTCAGATCATCCCAGCAAAATAAGCATCCAAGCGTTTCTTAAAGGGATCCAGAGTAGGTGCTTGCACCACTTTTGGGGGGAGTCTATTCCAGACTCTGGAGACTCGGACGATAAAGAAGTTTTTCCTTATGTCTGGTCTAAAACCATCTTCCAGCAGTTTGTGACCATTAGACTTTGATTTCCCTTGGGATGCCCTGGTGAACAGACGTTCTCCCAGTTCATGATGCACACCCCTTATATACTTATAGGCTGCCACCAAGTCACCCCTGAGTATTCACTACTCCAGGCTGAAGAGTCCCATGCCTCTCAGCCTCTTCTCACAAGGCCTCTTCTCTTGACCTCTAGTCATGCATGTGGCTCTCCTCTGAACTCTTTCTAGCTTCTCCACATCCTTTCCAAAGTGTGGAGCCCATAATTAGATGTAGTACTCCACCTGCAGCCTCACCCGGGCCAAGTAAAGTGGGAGGATGACTTCTTGACTCTTGCTTGAGATGCATCAGTAGATGCATGCCAGAGTTTTATTTGCTTTGCTGACTGCAGCATCGCATTGGCTCATGTTCATCTTGTGGTCATTCATGACACCCAAGTCTCTTTTGGTCATGAATGTAGTACTGCCGAGCCTATAAGCATGATGTGGGTTTTTTCTCCCAAGGTGAAGCACCTTGCATTTCTCTGTGCTGGATGTCATCAAGTTTTAATCTGCTCACCTTGCAAGCCTGTCCAGCTTGGCCTGAATTGCCAGGCCTATCCTTGGCCTGAATTGCCAGCCTATCCTCTGATGGCACTTCCCTATAATTTGGTGTCATCTGCGAACTTAGCCATCACAAGGACAGTGCTTCATGTATGCCCTCTAATGTTTTTATTTGGAATATAAGCATGTGTCATTTCACATTAGGTTTAATTATGATATATTGTATGTTTTTTTACCTAACCTGCTGAAATACAAAGCCTGTAATTCTTTACAAAAGAAACATAAGAAAAAATTTGTGCTATTCAGATCTTGCTTCTTTGTGCAGAGCTCTTGTTATAATTACTTTATTGTATTACTATCCTTAAAATATACAATTATATTGTGTCCTTTTAAATATCAAAAAATTTAGTCCAACTACAGTTTATCCAAGTTTTGTACATTATGATTTCAAATGAGAACTGAGAATTTGTTCAGGGGTGTTCTGTTCTGTTCTGTTCTGTTCTATATGAGTTTTTAGACAAGTCTACTCCAATGTGCTATAATTACATTGCATCAGAGCAGCCTCACTGCTCATGTATAGGCACCCTTACAGTGCTTCCTGTTGTTTTTAGTCCAATGACTTGTACATGGTTACAGCATATATTCCTGAAAAGCATCCAGGTTTGATTTAGAGATATCAAAAGACAGAGAATCCATTATTTCCCTTGGTAGTTTGTATCAGTGATGTAATTGCCCCCACTGCTAAAAATGTTTGCCTTATTTCCATTTTGAAAGGAATCAGCTTCTAATCATTTGTTCTCATTCTGTCTTTCCTCCCATCAGTACTTGGTATTTTCTCCCCATGGATAGACTAATCAAGTCTCTCAACCTTTTTTCCAGAAACAAAGAGGAGAGTGCTTTTAAGCTTCTTACTTTGTCATTTTCTCCAGTCTCCTCATTTATATGACTCTTCTCTGTACCATCTCTATTTAATATTCTTTTAAATACTTGGACACCAGGTGCCTGTAGATGTGTGGGACATCTGCTCCAATGTGTGGTAATTATAGTGTGTTGGAGCAGACTCGATTAATCAAGTCTGCTGGAGAGTGCTAATTAGCACATTCCAGCAGCCTCAGTGTCTTGTATATTCAGCGTACCTGCACTTCAAAATGGCAGTGGGGGTCCTTTTACTAAAGGTCGTTTAATGAGCTTTAGTTAGTGTCCCTGCCACCATTTGAAGTCCAGGAACCTGAATACGTGAGATGCTGCAAGTGCTTTAATTAGAGTGGCTCCTGAGAGCATGTGTAAGGAAGCCATGAGAATACAGAATTATATGCAGTATTCTTCTAATGGTCTCACCAGTGTTGGACACAGAAGCAAAATCACTTTGCAATTCCACCCATGACAGCCCTGGTTGTAGACCCAAGGATGACATAGCCTTTTTTGCCATTGCTTTGTGTTGGGAGCTCATGTTGAGTTGCCTCTGCTTTATCACACTACATCCTTTTCAGACTTGGCTCTTTCCAGGTTATAGTCCTTTCTGATGTAAATCTGGCCTACATTCCTTATTCCCAAATGTGCAACTTTCCATTTGGCTGCTTCACATGCATGTTGTTTGAATAGGTTCAGATTATCAAGTGTTGAAAATTGTACTATTTGACTGTTCCATCTTCATCATTACCCCAAAACTTGCATCATCTTCAAAGTTTATATTTAGTTCCAAATACCTGATGAAAATATTTTGAATAGTGACAGGCAGAGTACTGGTTCCTCTGGAACACTA